CAACCCGTGTTTCGAGGTGCGACAGGGAGGAGCCTAGTCATAAGTGAGAGGGGTGGGGAAGGAGGAGGAGGAGGAGTGGGAGGAGGAGGAGGAGTGGACTTGCACTTACAAGAGGCCGCCGAGCCGCCACCGCGGCTCCTCCATCTCCCCGGTTATGTTCACCTTGAACGGACGTACGATGTACGTAAACTTGTTGCGGACAGTCTCCCGCTCCGCGTGTCCTCCTCCAGGTCCAGGTAGATGAGGTCGGAGGGCCGCGCCGCATCGCCGATACAGACCGGCGATACGGTGCGACCCGATTGTCTCCGTCCCGAAATCGCTGGTCCCGACGTCGCCGATGCACTGGAGATGCAGCGCGGCCCCTCCGGCTATAGCTGCTCCGGCCCCATGAGCGGGAGCATAATCTTCGGGGGTCAACCATCCCCCCCCAGGCCTATCCTGGGGCGCGCTCCGGCCAGAGTTTCGGGACGGATCCTGCCGCGGCGACGACGGCAGCTCCCCCCAGAACCTTGGGAAGCGTGACGGAGCAGCTAAGCAGCATCTCGACCCGCGATCCCTCCTCCCTCCTCCCCAACGATCCCTCCTCCCTCCTCCCCACTGCCCTTTGCGACCCTGCCTGAAGTCGATGGTACGCTGTATATGCTATCCGTTATCCCTGTGCTGGTCTCCAGCGGTGGCACCCGCCGCCTGCCGCGAGGCCGCGCATGTGGAACTCGTAGCTACCCCCCTCCCGACCCGAAGTGTTGGTCTTCGGGTTGGGTCGGGGTGGTTTGGTAACCGCGCGCCCCGGATAATAAGTCATACCCCCCTTCACCACTGAGAGTTTCTTTTCCCCGCCCAATGCAGATTTGGTCGGGGGAGAGGGGCGGCCAGGTCGAACTCGATTATCGCGGGGGGACGTTGCGAGTCGAAGCTGTATCTTCTTATGTTGACCAGCAACATCATCACAGACATTTGCTACTCGGGGCAGTTGGCCAGGTAGCCGCTCATTGAAAGGGCCTGCGTCGCATCATCAACCTCGACCCCTGCGGGCCCGCGCCCTCCCGAGTTGCCGGGAGGCTACTGCCGCCCCCACCGCCGCCGCTTGGGCGCCCCGGGTCCTCGCGGCGCCGCCGTCCGCCGCTGCCGCCGCCGCCGCCACTCGTCGTCGTCGTCGTCGATGTCGTCCTCGTCGTCGTCGTCGTCGTCGTCGTCGTCGTCGTCGTCGTCGTCGTCGTCGTCGTCGTCGTCGGTCGTCGGTCGTCGGTCGTCGTCGTCGTCGTCAGCGCCACCGCCGCCGCCGCCGTCGTCCTCGTCCTCGTTCGGCGGGTCGAAGATGGGGTCCTGAGGGATGGGGCCCTGGGGACGAGGTGCCCCAAACAGCTCAGATGCACCCCTGGATGCCCCCCTACCTTTGGGCCCCCATCCCTCGGGGCCCCATCTTTTTCACCACCCGTTCGTCCCCCGCCGTCGTCGCCGCCGTCCGCTGGCGGCGCCGTCCATCCTCCGCCGCGGCGCCGCCGCCCGCCGCCGGCGCCGCCGCCTCCGAAGCGGGGCCGCCGCCTAGGTCGGGGCGCCCGGCGTCCGCCCTGGCGCCGCCGGGCGGCCCCCGCGGCGCCGCCTCGCAGGGCGCCGCGGCGCAGGGCGGCCTCGGCGAGCGGCTGCAGCGCAGGGCTGCCGAGCACGTGGCCCAGGCGGCGGCCTCTGGCGGCCTCCGGCTTCGGCCTCTGGGGGCCCTCGGCGGGCCTCGTGACCGTCAACGAAGCCGCGCGGGGTAAAGAGCCAGTCCCGGGGAATGGGTCGAGACCTCTGAGGTTCAGGAGGGGAAAAAACACACAGACACAATTAATCGTCGATCCCCCAGAAAGTATGGGAACATATGGGAAGTGGGGGGGAAGACGACAACCCAGAAGAGAATGAAAAATATGGGGAATCCTTTCATCTGTGTGTATTTATTTGCGTGTCCTGGGCCCTTGAGAGGTCGAGGATGTCAAAATCATGACGTCGGGGGTCTCGGGAGGGCAGGCGACGCTGGCCGCCACGCCGGCGGTGATGGCGGCGACGGCGGCGAGCGCGACGGCAGCGTGGAAGGCGGCGCCTGCGACGGTGGGGAGGGAGGGGCAGGAGAATGAGGAGGAGAGACGCCTACTTGCGGTGACGACGGCCACGTCGGCGACGACTACGACCGCGACCACGAGGACGACGGAGACAATGGGGGAGGAGGGAGGTGTGGAGATGACAGGAGGAGGCACGATACCTGAAAAGAGGAGGAGCGAGGGGAAGGGCGCAGAAGGGGTGGGGAGGGAGTGGGAAGAGGAGAAGGAGGAGGAGGAGGAGGAGGCAGAAGAGGGTTGAAGGAAAACATGATGAGTGGGGGGAAGAAGGAGGAAAGGACCCTCCCTTTCATCGCCGCCCTTCTCCTTCACGTCGTCCTCCTTGGTCTTTATCCGTCCTCCTCTTCTATGCCCATAGGGAGGAGTTACAGGGGGATGCGAACTGGAAGGGCGACTGGAGGGGTGGGAACGGGGGGGATCGATTGCATTCGGCCTGAGCCAAACTCAGGCCATGATAATGAAATGGGAACCTATGCTGACATCCTGCGATATGCGCTTCCCAATCCGCGGCCAACCACTTCCCTGGCCGTAGTTTTGCATCCTGTGCCCGTTTCTGATGGCCCTGGGGCCCAAAAGCGACTCCGTGGGGCCGAACTGAAGGGAAAAACGCCGTGATAAAACAAAACATATACGATCTGGAGTTTTGGCTTAGCTTGTCGCGCCGCCGGTTCTGACCCACAGCGGTTTTGCGCTACACGCGAATTAGCCGCGCAAGGTCCCGAGCTTCTCCCGGACTCCCGCCGGGCGTAGCGGGGTGACACACCATCCGCTCGCAGGGCATGTAGTGTGTCGCCCAGGCCGCCGCCGCGACACGCCAGGCAACAGTCCCCGGCCGCACCGTCGGAGGTACAGGTCGTGTCGCTCTTGCCTCGAGGCAGCTCTTCGGAGGAGGAAAATGTACCCAAACTTGCCTCGTTTTCCCCACTTTAGGCCTCCAGGGAGACCCTCGTCGCCACCGCTGGATTCGCTTCGAAATTCAGGTCAGAACGCACCCCAGGAGAGGTCCAGGGAGTAGCAGTATGTGTACCTGCTGGTTTCCCCAGATCTTAGGGCCTGCTCACTGTGGGCGCCTCCGAGAAGTGGCCAGCACGTCCAGGGAACATCGTGCACGAGAGCGTAGCGGCCTGCTGGTGCTTGTCGTATACCTGCCAGCCTGAGACACGTCCTTACCCCTATAGCTGGCATCGCCTTATCCCGATGCCGATCGTAAGGGCTTTCTCGCTTCTGAGGTCGCATCCCTGAGACTCGGGTCGGGCGAAAGGGGGTGGGTGGGAAAGGGGGGGTTACGAAATATGCTGCATGCAGCTGGTTTCGGGCCCGCCGCCGGGCCCATTCCTCGATGCATGGGCGCCTCCCGGCGCCAGGAGGCGCCGGTAAAATCAGCTACGTGAGCTGATTCTCAGCCCCCCCCTTGGCTATCCCCCCCTTTCGCCCGGCCCGAGAGACTGTCATCGCCTTCGGGCTTGCCGACCTCGGGAACTTGGGAGCGGGCAACAGCCCAGGCTGCTTAGGCACGGCAGGCCACACCAACAGGGTGGGGGCGGGGCCGGCGGCCGGGGTGCCCTGGGCGTTTACAAAAAAACCCTGCCCTGTTCGATTCCGTCTTTGGGCGCGTTTACTAGACGACCTCGCGTGTCGGGGTGGTTATCATCGGGGCGGATGTTCTGCCCTCCTCGTTCAGGGGCTCGGGTTCTCGGGCCGCTCCTCGGATTTGGGGCGGGGAGCTCATGCGCGGCCGGGAGCTCGCCGTGGCCAGAGAGGCCCCTTCACTCCTTATCACCGCATGCCAGCGATAACAAAAGAATCCCGGATCCCCCCTAGAACCCCCTATATCTTCGGGGGCGGAAGGGGGGTGATGACTGGGGGGGGGGATGTCATGGCGGGGGGCATGATATTTCCTCAAGTTTCATGGCGCCTCTTCTTATTTCATTACGTCCCTGGCCCCCCCGCTGGGCCGCACACATGCCGCCGGTCATGATTTGCACCCCCCCCTCTTGGACACCCTCCTCTTGGCCGCTCCCGATATCTGATTATCCTTGGGCTCTATATGGTTCAAAGTGCCGCGACAGGCGGGAGGGCGAATTGTATTTCTACCCCCACAGATCGCATCGTACAACCCGCTGGATGAAAAAAATGGAGGCCGCGGGGACCGAGAAAGACACGGTTGGCCTCCCGTTGAGCGGTGGGGCCCCAGGGGCAATGTTGGAGTTCGGGCCGATTTGGGAATTCCAGATGCATCTGCTAGATTTGGGAATTCCAAATGGGGTCAGCTCCTGGAAGTGCGAATCCGCCCGAGACTCCCTCACAACAAACATTCAGATCGCCTTCCAGGGCGATCTGAAAATTTGCCATGGCACCTGAGAGTGGCGATACCGCGTGGGACCTTAGGACAATTTTCAGACCGATCTTCATGCCGCCTGTCAGTGGCGATATCGCCTGATAATTTCTCGCAGAGTATCTTCGGGCCGCTTTTCAGGCCGCCAGAGCTGTCCTAACAACGGCGCGTCTCGTCAACCCCTGCGTCGCCGTCCTCCGTTCGGGTCACGAGCCTGTGTTGGAGTCATATTGGGATCGACCGAAGATCGAAGCGTATCGATTGGGGAAGACCCCAGGGTTGTTCTCTCGCATCGTGCCGATCACCACTTTTTAATCCAGGGGGTCGTAGCTCTGATCTTCATAGCATGCATGGCACCATGAGTAATCATTATTATCATTTTTGAGGATGTCTCAAGCGGAACGCTCATTTCCGAACATGCGCCAAATTCGCGACCACCAGCATATCGAGGAGATCGCAAACACAAGGCTTGTTTTGTAACAAGCATTGTCGCGAGCCTGTCTTTGTTGCGAGGGTGCTTTTGGCGAAACGCTTAATTGTTTGAGTTCTCCCTTCCTTTTTTCCCTCCCCGCAGCTCTTCGATGCCCATGACGTGTGCGAGCAACCGATCCTTCAACCGGTTTCTAGCGCCCCAAGCGGTCCCAACCCAGGCTTCCCGACATGGCTCTCTCCAGGTGCCCCACGCGCGCCGAGCTCTCCGCCACCTCCGAGACGGAGAACGCCGAGCTCATCAAACTGCTCAAGAAGCATATCGAGCAACAGAATAAGCAGATCGAGCAGCATAACGAAATCATCGAGCTCATCAAGCACGTCGCCGAAGAAGCGAGCATCGCGGAGATGCGCCAGTGCCAGCTAAGAGGCGAGGCGCCGGACGCTTCGAGGATGAAGAGCAACTACCTCCGAGGCCAGTCCGCGTGGTGGTCGAGAAACGCTCAAACGACCATCCTCGAGAGACTCTATGAGAAAGAAAGCGCCGAAAGCATCGATCGCTCAGGAATCGCCTTCGAGAAAAACGAGGATGAGCGAGCTCGCCGTCGCCATTTTCTCGCGCACCTGCCCCGAGGAGCCCATCGAGGCCCCCGGCGTCGACGACGAGCACTGCGCAACTGGCGTGCTCTTCGGGGCGGTCGCGGGGCGGGACTCGCTGGACGCGCTCCCAGGCGACCCGGGGCAGTTGCTGGTCGCGGGCCGTTGGCGGCCAGTGGCCTTCCGCCACCGCCTGCATGGGCGGCCTGCGGCCCCGCCACCAAGCGGGGGCGCTGGCGCCGATCGCGTCGCCGGCCCCCGTGGAGCTGCCCCCGCGGCGACGGCGCCGCCGATGCCGTGCGGGCGCCGACAAGTGGAGGGGCTGCGCGTTCATGGAGCCGTTCGCCGGGCGCGGCCGTTTCGCCCAGCGCGTTCGGGACGTGGGTCATGGTCTGGACATCGCCCGCGCGGCGGCTGGGGATCACCTCGGCTCCACCTTCTAGTCGGTGGCGCGGGGTGGCTGCTGGCTAAAGCCATCGTGTGCCTGTGGCTCGGCACACCCTGTACTTCAGGGTCGCAGGCGTTGAAGGGTCCGCCACGTCCCATGCGTTGTCCCAAGGGCAACCTGGGCTAAGGCAGCCGCTCCTTCCATTTGTCCTGCCGCCTTATCCGGCTCTGCGTTCAAATTGGCTGCCCCGTCTTTTTAAAGAACCTCGGGGCTCGCTCCTCTGGCGCGCTCCAGAAATTGTTGAGTTGCTCTCCCATGCGTCGTGCTCCGTGTTCAAGATGGACATGCGCCAGCGCCATTTCGGCAAGGTTGTGTAAATCGTGCTCCGGCAAAGGTGGCATCTGCACGTCGTCTGGCCTGTTTCATTTCATTTTCCAAGGCTGAGACAAAGGTGCGCCAGCCGGCCGCGCAGAGCTCGCAGCGGTTTGCTCGCCTCCGTGTTCTCGCGCCGCCGCTTCAGCCATGATGCATTCGGCGAATGCTCTCAGATAGTAATGGATGATGAATGCTGCTTTCAATTTATATTGAGAGCGTCACGTATGTGATGCATAACATCTGTACACGCGCGCGTTGGTCGTACTCGGCCACCTGTCGTGGCCAGGTCTGCTCTGCGGGATCCGGGTGGCTTCTGGCAGGGTCTTCGAAGGTGTGCGGCTCTCGATAAGCTCTCAGGTGTACAGTTCCCGGTCTGCCGTGGCCTCGCCTGCCGCGCTCGTCCCCGTAGTAGATAGGCAATGTCCTGGCATCTGGAGAGTGGTAGTTGCTGGTCCTTTTTGTAAGTGCGTGCTGCGTCTCACGGCGAGAGTGCCGCACTTGATGGGCATCCGTGGCCATCTCGTTCAAGCTTCCCCTCCCGCTCCACCCTTGCCATTTTTGTTGTTGTTCTCTCTCTCTCTCTCTCTTTCGTCCTCTCTCTCTCTCTCTCTCTCTCTTTCTTTCTAAATTGTACGATCTTGCCATGAAGCTGTTGGCATTGTCTTTGGAGGTGTGCGGCTCACACCGGGATCAACTCTCAGGTGTATAGTTCCCGGTCTGCCGTGGCCTCGCCCTGCCGCGCTCGTCCCCATGATATAACGGCATCATCCTTTCAGCTGGAGGGTGGTAGATGTTGTGTATATATATAAGCGTGTATATCGCACAACCTTATGCTACAGTACACCGGTTTTTAAACATAGGGTAGCATCATATACTACTTCACCTGGGTAATCATGAAATCGTTAGGTAAGAAAATGTAGTACAACAGGTTTGCGGTATATCAACATAGCTGTATCATGTTAGTTGTCTGAGTTTGCACCGTATCGTGGCAATTGTAGCATAGCACACCATAGCATTCCAACGTATACGTTGTTATGTGCTATATTTGCAATTTGCTTTATTGCCACACTACATGTATGTATGTATGCATGTTTGTATATATACATCGATATATACACATATGCCGTATCTTGTTACATTCGATCGTATGACGTGATTGTGTAGTGTCGTATAGTGTACAACAGTTGTTTTGCATTCTGTTTTACAACGGTAGATTAGATGGTACTGCATTCGTGTCCGATGTGCTACAATTTACCATGCTATATCCTACCAGAGTGTTCGTCGTTCACTCTGTACACGACCGTGGTATACTACAGGGTGCGTTTTTATGCATGACTATAGTGCCATCGCCCGCACTAGGTTAGGACATGCGGTGATGTATCTTCGTATAGAACTATATCATATGATACCATATCGTGATATATGTTGTTCTCTATCATATATATATATATACATGTATATATATATATATATATATATATATATATGCACACGCATACGCTTATACCAATGTATACACATATCTAATCACACCTACCGGTGTGACTTCGCACTGCGTTATTTCGACCGACCGAGCCCCAACCCTCCCCGGCCGTGTCCCCCTCCCCCCGCCCCTTTCGCGCCCCCCGTCTGTTTATTCCGACCGACCGACCGTGCCCCAACCCCCCCTCCCCGACTTGTTTCCTCTTCCCGTCCCCCTACCCCCCTATTCCCCCGTGGCCCCCCGTCTGCTTATTCCGACCGACCGTGCCCCCACCCCGCCCTGTGGCCTCTCGCTTGATTCATATGACCGACCGACCGTGCCCCCCCCCGGCCCGAGCCGCCTCCCTTTTTCCTACCTACTCACCGACCGCCCCCCCCCCGCCCCTCTGCCACGCGGTTCCCTCTATTCCGACCGACCGTGCCCCCCCCCCTCCCCTTACTGTGAGCACACGTCCACCGTCCACCCCGTTCCTTTCGCGCCCCCCCCGCCCCCCTCGCCCCGACTGACCGACCGACCGTGCCCCCCCCCCCTCCCCCGCCCACGTCCCCCAGCCCTTCCGCCCCGTGGCTCCCGTCTGCTTCTACTCTGGCCGACCGACCGTGCCCCCCCCCCCTCTCACCTCCCCGCCCACGTCCCCCCGCCATTTCCGCTTTTGGCCCCCGTCTGCTTCTATTCCTTCCGACCGACCGACCGTGCACCCCCCCGTCCTCGATTTGATTGTGTGTTCCCGTCCTTGTGCCCCCGTCCCCCGTAGCCCCGTGTCTGCTTATTCGCATACCTACCTGTGTGATTTCGCACGGCTGCGTGCTGGGATGTGTCGGTTTATTGCCTCGGTGTGGTGTTCGGTGCTGGGATATTGCTTCGGTGTTCTCGGTGCTGGGATGTGTCCGTCTGGTGGCTCAGTGCGCTGGGACCGGTGTGTTGAGATGTGTGGACGTACTCGGGTGTGCGCTGGGAGTGTTGGGATGTGTGGAGGTGTACCAAGATACCGCGTGCATCGTACGTTCACCTAGACAGTATACAGCAAATAATTTCCATGTGTGTTGGGATATGTTGAGCATTGTGTAACGGAAAGAGCGAGGTACGAGTGATGACGTTCTAGTGTGGGGCGAAGCCCTTAAGGGAGGGGTTCCAGGGGAGGGGGGAAGGCCAGGCGCAGGGTTGGTAATGGCCGTTTTAGGCTTGTCCCTAGAGTTTTTGCATGTTTTTTTAGGGATCCCCCCCCCCAAGACGGCCCAAGAGCGTTCCAAGAGGCGCCCAAAGGGGCGTCCCAAGAGGGCCCCAAGAGGCCAAAACCATCGATTTCCCCCAAAAATGTTTAGCATATGCGGCTTTTCGGCTTTCACGGCGTCGACGACGGCCCAAGAGGCCCTCAAGACCGCCCCAAGACGGCCCAAGACGGCCCCCAAAACGGCCGAAGAGGGCCCCCAGACGGCCCCAGAGGCGCCCAAGACGGCCCGAGAGGGCCCCCAGACGGCCCCAAGAGGGGGACCACGAACCGAAAAGTCTAGCCTTTCGCCCCGCGACGCTCCCAGGAGGCCCCACGAGCCCCCAAATAACCCCATAGAGGCCCCCAAGAGGCGTCCCAAGAGGCCACCAGGAGGCCAAAATCATTGCTTTCCCATGGGGAAAGGTACATTTTCAGCATACACGGCTTTTCGGCTTTCACAGTGTTGGAGACGGTCCAAGAGACCCCCAAGACCGCCCCAAGACGGCCCACGAGGTTCCCAAGAGGCCCCCAAAACGGCCCAAGATGGCGCCAAGACGGCCCAAGAGGCGCCCAAGACGGCCCAAGAGGGCCCTAAGACGGCCACAAGAGGGGGACCACGAACCGAAAAGTCTAGCCTTTCGCCCCGCGAAGCTTCCAGGAGGCCCCAAGAGCCCCCCAAGAAGGCCCGAGAGGCCCCCAAGAGGCGTCCCAAGAGGCCACCAGGAGGCCAAACTCACTGATTTCCTATAGAAGGGCCTCAGGAGGCCCCCAAAGGGGCTCCAAAAGGGCCCCAATAGGACTCCCAAGAAGGCCCAGAGACGCCAAATAAAGAGCGATCGGTAACGCAAAAAGCTCTTCACACCAAGGCTCCCAAGAGCGAGCTGTGACGTAAACAAGCTGATAAGACCAAGGCTCCCAGCAGAGAGCGGTGACGTAACAAGTTCCTGACACCAAGGCCCAGCCAAGGCTCAGGAACGGGCGGCAACGCAACAATCTCTGAACATCAAGGCTCCCAAGAGCGAGGGGTGACGTAACAAGCTCTCAACGCCAAGGCTCCCAGTACGAACGGTGGTGTGAGTAATTTCGGCTTCTGTTTCTGAAGCGCTCTTTCCGTTTCCGTGCCGGCCCAGCTGAAAATTGCCACACGATTATGGTTCCATGATTTTCCCGTATTCATTTTGTAGAGAAACATACCCGACTTAAGGCTACGCGTACCATCGCGCCCCCCCTTTTGGGACCAAGCGTTTCGCTCCATACAGAGGGCCTGCATTGTAAAACACGCCGTTGAAGCCTGACAAGCCTCTCCCGTCATATTAAGATCGCCATCGGATCGAACTTGGCACTGCGTCCACACAGCCATGCTGCTATCCGCTCCCCCGTTGTGGTCACTCGCCAGCGTGTCGCAGCACTCGCGCGCTTCCCCGAAACTGCCACAGGTTGGCGCCATCTCCATCTCCGATTGTCCTGCATCCGTGATTGCATGATCCTTGGCACGCGTGCCTCTTGTAATATACATGTATAGATATAAACTGCAGTATAGATGTCTGCTTTCCTTGTTCGACTGTTCTTAAAAAAAATGCCCCCCGTACACAAATTCAGCCCTGGGCGCTCCGTCCAATGTGAAATTCGAAGTCTCGGTTTCGGGAGCTCTTCGGGCCATCCTACGCCGCCCGCGCAGACCCAGGATCGCTTCCCGGACGGTCCCGTGGAGCCCCGGAGCGGCCCAAGGCCGCTCCAGAACGGCCCATGAGTGCTCAAAGAGGGCCCAAGGTGGCTTCAAGACGGTCCAAGAGGCCCCCAATACTTCTCAAGAGCTTCCCCAGGGGACCCCCAACATGCGAAAATCGCCCCATTCCGCAGGGCAAACATACATTTCCAACATGTTGGCTTCTCTGGCCCCCGCGGTCCACGACGGCTCAAGAGACCCCACAGATCGCCCAAGGACGGCCCACGCATTCCCCAAAAGGGCCCCAAGAAGGCCCCAAAGCCTCCAAGACTGCCCAAGACGGGCCCCAGACGGCCCCAAAAGGTTGTTCAAGAGAGCCCCAAGAAGGCCACAGGAGGCTCCCAAGAGGGCCCAGGAGGGTTCCAAGAAAGGCCCAAGACGGCCCAATCACCACAAAACGTTTCAAGAGGATCCCGGGACGGCCAAGGAAGCCGCCAGACGGCCCCCCAACAAAAATCCAAAGGATCCCCTCGAGGGACTTGAAAGGCCACATCCATTAATTTTCGCGAGGTTGTGTGGTAGATGTTTTCAATCACGTGCCGAAGTCTAAACACCCAGACGTCCCCAAACCCTGAGCGCGCGATCTCGCGCCCTCACAGAGTACGACCGGCTCAACTGGCTTTCAGGGAGGCCCCGAGACTGCCCGAGGAGGCCGCGGAATTGCCCACAGGGCCCCGCGAGACGGGTTCTGATGGCGCTATGAGCCGTTCGAGTCGCATGAGCCCTACGAGGCTCACGATGCCTACGCGCCTTCCAAGAGGCCCCCGATACGCCTCTGCCCAAAGCACTCTGCGGCCCATGAGCCTTACGGGCCCACGGGCCGAGTGCGCTCCTGAGTGCTACGACACTTACGAGTCAGCCCGACGACCGTGAGAGCCCCTTCGAGCCTTGCGACCCTTACGACCCCTGTCAGCGCTACGAGCCCTCAGAGCCTTATCAGCCTCATATGCCCTATGACCCCTACGAGTCCTCTGCAACACGTACGCTCACGAGCCCAATGCGCCGTACGACCCGATGCTCCTCGCGACCTCATACGCCTTGTAACCCTTACGAGCCCCATCATCCTTATCAACTCGTGAGCCCTGCGACCATTCCCACCCCTGTCACCCCTACGACCCCTACTACGCCGTTGCAGGAGTTTGTCACGTCTTATGGGGGCCGCACGAGCGGGTGGGCCGAGATTGACCTCTTTTTCCCGACCGCGCCAAGATGCCCCGCCTTTCCCGCTAGAACCCTACCAGGCTGGGTCAAGAGCGATCGGATCAAGGGTCCAGCGATTCTAAATCTGGGATTTCATCTTCTTCTATAACAGTATATCCTTGAAGCGGCGTAA